TCGTCGATTCGAAAAGAATGGCCTCACAAGTAAAACTCGTCGCTTTGCCATGAGGTATGAGCTTTTTCGGACATCCAAGATCGTTTAGTAGCCCAAAATTTAGTTTTAATGTTTTTACAGTTTTTGAAAACTTGGTTATTTTTTTATTTTAATTCCTTGTTTATTCCTAGGATTTCTAGAAGTATTTAAACAGATTTTACCCGTGACTAAGGTTATGTTTTGTTATTCTAATTTATCAATAAACCTTGAGGTTTCCTCATATATTCTTGGTGAATTCCAGAGTTACATGTTGTACGCTAAAGTTTTAGCCATTCTATTATCACGATGCGTCAAATTCATTGACCTACACATGCATGAGTAGAGTCGTGCAATCTAAACATGTTTCTTTCCACTAATTTCGCTTAATTCACTATTTCATAGAGTCGTTGAAACTGATTTTTGTTGTCCAAAAAGTAGAGCATGAAAATATAAAAGCATGAGTTAAATGTTGCCACACTTTAAGACTAATGCATGCTGGATCATTTGTTTGGTTTTCTTTAGATTTTTCTAAGCATGCTACATCATTTAAAACTCATCTAAAGACTAAAAACGTGACATTGAATCCACATATTTTCTCTTCGAATTTTTTCCTTTCTCTCTCTGTCAAAGCGATGCTAGTCTTGTCTCCTAATGCGTTATTATCTATAATGAAAAAAATTAGTGGTCCATTTTTGATGGCTACAACTCAAAATGACTTTTTCGTTTTATAATAAAGTGAAATGAGTTGCACTGCCCGATATGTGACATTGTGCTCTTTAAAGAGAGTTAGTTGTTAGATGATGTTTTAAACAATTAGGTTGATCATTGAGTAAAATAGCTTTGTAAAAAATCCGTTTCATGTAGATCGATCATAACAATCAATATGTGAAATAATCAAAGATGCAATTTCATTCGCAAAATTCCCAATTCGCCAGGAGCGCATCAGATTTGTTACACAAATAGCATTACATTATGTTGACGGGTTAATCTAGTGAAAAATTGTCTTGATTTGTAGACCAGTGGTCTAAGGTGTTGGAAATTATATATTATAATATTAATGAAATATTATAATATTTAAATTTTAATGTGTGAATGAAAACGGTTATTATGTTTAAAATATGAAAAGTCCCATAGCATACAAACCTGATGTTGGCGAATTAGATTTGTTACACATATAGCATTACATTATGTTGACGGGTCTAATCTAGTGAAGAAGGGTCTTGATTTGCAGACCAGTAATCTAAGGTGTTGGAAATTATATATTATAATATTTAAATTTTAATGTGTAATAAAAACAGTTATTATGTTTAAAATATGAAAAGTCTCATAGCATACAAACCTGATGCAATTCAATTAAGGGAGTTGCATCTTTCCTTTTGCATGGGTGGCGTCAATTAGTGAACAACCACCATTGCTATTCCAAAAAAGTCACTTGGGTTCTATATAAACCTAAGATATATGACATTCCAAAGTGGTGTTGAAAAGGAGTTTTCTCCACTCATGCTATGTTAGAGTATCAATCTTCATGTTTCCTTCCTAAGTGCCTTGAGAGTATAAATATATAATTGGGTCGCCAGAGTCTTAAATTGAAGTGCTTCAATTTAGAATTATCGATTGTTGAATCATGGGATACATACACCTATAGAATTGCGAGCACAAGGACATGGACGAAGTCTGTCTTTAGGATATTGCAATTTTTGCAAACCTCAATCGCTAAAGTTGTCATTATTTCTATTTGTGTTTGTTGATTTACATTAATTTCATGTAATTTGTTATTGTATTTGATTATAACAAGTCTGTTGAGAATTATTATTATCTTTAAATTCATATTTCCTACTGTTCCGCCAAACTCCATGACACCTTGGTAGTGTGTGTGTGTGTGTGAGAGAGAGAGAGAAATCGGCATCCCTCTTATAGTTTAGATGATCGCTTATATTCAAATTACATTACATTACTGAAGCACATCAAACGTTAATAGTTGATCATTTAATGTACAACTACAAAATTTTCCCTTTATCTCTTTGGTTGTCACTACTAGAAAACTTCATTATAAGTCATTGATACAGTCGTGGTCTATAATGATGTTAGCTACAAACTACCCATGATTAAAAGGTATTAGTTACGGATTAAACACAGATCACGTAACTGTAGTCGAAGTGGATATTGACATTAATTTTCTACCACAACAGAGAATGTTCATGACCTATAAGTGGTAGATCCCATCATGTCTTCTCATCCTTGCAAAAGTCTTCCTCCCACCCATTAAAATATTAATATATCTTTTTAAAAATCCGTGGCGTATAATTGGATGCGTTGTAATACAATTCATATTCCAATTCACTATTTTGTTCTACCACAATACAGGAACCTTGCAAAAGTACCGCTAATTTCTTTTGTTATTATGTGGATCGAAGGCCATAAATTAATTCTCTTTCAAATGCTTATTCAAATTATATTAAAAAAATTGCTTTATAATCAAACAATTGTCACATTCACAATGAGGAAAAAGACCATTGCTTATTCCAACAATTGTCCTCCATATCCAAATGGAGGACAAATACAATTATCTAGCACTAGTGTGGAGGGTTTTATTACAGTCCAAACTAGTACTCAATGCAAATACCACACTCATTGGTTCATCATAACCCATATTTATTTGACCCAGTAAGTGATACATTTGGCACATTAGGTGGTGTAGCACCACTTTGTACGCCGTATGAATGGCTATTTTTCATTGTTCATATTGAGTCATATTTGTACTGCAAACAAACAATTGCTAATACAAGGCTCATTGATTTTTTTTATTAAGAGGAGCCATAACACACCAAACTTACACACACTATAGGATGCTAGGACTTGAACTCGGGACATTTCCTGAGGAGAGTATTTACTGGAAACCACTACAAGTGAGTCCTTTGCACCTAAAAATTACTCCGTGTGTTAGAGTTGTACCTTACATGAATGGATCCTCCACAAAACCACATTTCCTCAATCGACATCACTAGTGTTTCGGTTTTATTACAATAAACAACCTCCTATTTTTCTTGTCACTATAGATAGCTCGCTCACATAAAGGTTCATTTGATAACCATTTTATTTTTTATTTTTTTAAAAATTGAAAATAAGAAACTTGTTCGGTAACCAATTTTAGTTTTAAAAAACTAAAAAAATTGAAAACTATTCAAAAGCTGTTTGATCACTTATTTCAATTTTATGTGCAACTTGAAAAAAAAAATTGGGGTCAAATTGTGAGTTTTGGATGGATTATAAACTTGGGAACGAAAGTGCATGTTATAAAGAGTTGATAGTATTTTTTTGTGAAATTTTTGTAGTTATAATGATTTTTTGTGAATTTTGGATTTGGAGGTCCCGAAGCTCAAACTGGGTTCGCAGCCTTGTCCAAGTCGAGAGGTCCCAAATACCGAGCTTTGGTAACTAAAGTGCAGAATACATAAAGATGATTTTGCAAACTAGATTTCACTCCTTTGAATACAGAAAATAAAAATTGTTACCAAACATGTTTCAGTTTTCAATTTTCAGAAAAAGTGAAAATGAAAAGTTTATCAAACGGGCGCCATGACCGCCACAAGCCTGCATGTGGATCCGTTGCTGCCAAGAAAAACAATTAGAATTATCCAATTCTGACAAACATGACGAACAATAATATGAATCCTCCTCGGAAGAGAGCATATTTTGACAACATTATATTTATTTCTCACCGAAAAACACAATGGAAAAACTCATTTATGACTTGCAAGCATCTAATGAATGACCATTATCTTTGGAGGAAATATTTTTACTCACCACTATAACCTAAGGTGTATGTTCACTACCTTTCTTAATATTTAACACGTGTTCATAAGCATAACCATAGTTAACTTTTTACTTTGATTTATGTAACTATGGTTATGCTTAGGGACACATGTCAAGTGTTGAGAAGGGTGGTGAGTATATACTTTGGGTTAAAGTGGTGAGCAAAAATGCTCCCATCATTGAAACCCAGCAATTGGTGGTTGGCAATTGACTAATTAATACTCATGCAGCTGCACTGAAATCAAGTTACTCAACATATGAAGTTCATCTTGCCTATCTACCCACATCGGTTTCTTATGCCTAAGAGATTTTGACAGTGTGTGCGCGCACACTTATATATAAAGCCACAATGGCATACTCAACAGTGCCATCACTTTTTCGCTTTCATATATATATATATATATATATATATAT